GTCCATCCCCACCACCACCCTGCCTTGGCTCCGAGAAAAGAGTCAGAACAGCAATGAATGTTTCCGTTACGCCTATGGGACATTCTCAGGCAACATCACTATAGTTGGTGAGTTGTCTTTTCCAGACTACAATGCTACATCACAACAAATGGATTTACTTAGATGAATATCTTAAAATTCTACGTTTTAAGCAATAAAAGTTGCATTACACCGACTTAAAAAAGTTGGAACGTAAGAAAAAAGGTTCTATTTCTTTCCAGTACTTAATTTGGTAATAGTAACATTTTTGGGGGCTAACTGTATATAAGAGCATTAGTTGGAGCTATAAAACACTCAACTTTTCTTAAATGTGTCATCCTGCTTTTACAGAGCCAAAGCACCCTCTAAGAAATCGGCTAAAGAGTCGCATTGTGGACGTTTCGGCTGCCAGGGTGACCAACACCGACATCAACTTCCTGGTAAAATGTCTTGGCAGGTGAGCATTTTGTTTCACTGTTAAACTTTAAAGACGTTCTGTTAGCTTAAATGTTTGACTTCAGATGGGCATCTGGAATGCATTTTAATTATTAATATTAGGAAACGTTTTTTGGTTATAAAATATAAAATTTTAATTGACTTAGAGGTAACAGAATCAAAATCTTTTTTTTTTTGTGAATCTGTGGTCTGTTGTTTTAAACAGTGACAAATTAGACAAAAAACAAGCTTGGTGGCTTTTGACAATAAAAATGAGGAAATCTTATGATTCAGGTTTTTTAGCTCCAGAGAAAAGAAAATCCTTGTAGCAAAGATTCTGAAAAAAGGCTAGGATTAGGGTTTGTCTAAGTTAAAACTCCTACATCTCAGCATTCACAATACAGCAAAGAAATAGCAGATCTTATTTTGGGGTTCAAAAGTAAAAAACAAAGAATAAAACCCCAAATAACAAAAAAGAAATGAATGCTAAAATAGAACTACTTACTTTCATGTTATTGTTCCTTCTCAGTATCCCCACTTCCGCCTGCACCATTGTGTCAGACCCCAGCTGCACTAAAGTACGCAACATTATGTGCAACGATGTTCCGCCATCAACAGAGTGTGAGGTGCATCTTAGGCGAAGGTTTCTGGAACCCGGCACCTACTGTGTGAACATCACCCTGGAGAGCTCAAAGAGCATGGCACTTGCTAGCACCACCATCACCATCAGCAAGTCCCAGGACACACCTGGTCAGTTAGAAAAGTTCCCTGGAAAAAAAATTCTCTCCTTAGCTGTTTTTTTTTTTTTTTATCTATATACAAAAAACTAACATTGTTTATTTGGCTTTGTTTGTGCATCCCAGTGCCTGAAACTCCAAACACTGCCCGGGTAGTTCTCACTTCTAGTGCTGTGCTGGTGGCAGTCTTTGCGATGATTGCCTACGTGGTTTACCGGTAAGTGCATCACATTGTCACTATTTTTATAGTATATTTTATAGTATACTTATTTTTATAGTCAAACATGACAGAATATAGGAGCATGGTTCCCAATTTATGATACCAATACCACTAGTAGGATTTGGGGCTTCTTTGGTGGTACGGTACATTTATATATTTGGAAGGTAAAAAATAAATATTACCTGCAGTTGAAGAACAAAAATTAACTAAAGAGTTGAACAATCTACAACAAAACTTTTTAACATTTATGAGCAGTCAAGATAGTTTTTTACAAAAATCTAAAGTATCACAGTTAACCAGTGACAGCTCTTTGGGGATGATATTGCATCATCAAGGATCAGTGAGATTTTATCAACTATTGGCAATAAAAAAAAAATGTAGTTCCTTTATATTCTTTAATTTCTTAAAGTGGCAGCACATTCACTAAGAGAGCGGTAGAACTCCAAACCACTTTTGCAAGTCAGCCATATTAGATTTATGACATAACTGCTAACAGTCCTACCTTCCCACTTAAAATTACTTTTAAGAAGAAAACTTCAAATGAGTAAAAGTCATTGTTTTTAAGCTATGAAAGCTGCATACAGGTGCTGGTCATAAAATTAGAATATCATGAAAAAGTAGATTGATTTCAGTAATTCCATTTAAAAAGTGAAACTTGTATATTATATTCATACATTACATACAAACTCATATATTTCAGATGTTTATTTTGTTTAATTTTGATGATTACAAATGACAACAAATGAAAATCTGAAATTCATCATATCAGAAAATTAGAATATTACTGAAGACCAATAAAAACAAAGGATTTATAGAAATGTTGGCCAACTGAAAAGTATGAACATGAAAAGTATGAGCATGTACAGCACTCAGTATTTAGTTGGGCCTCCTTTGGCCTGTATTACTGCAGCAATGCGGCGTGGCATGGAGTCGATCAGTCTGTGGCACTGCTCAGGTGTTATGATAGCCCAGGTTGCTCTAATAGTGGCTTTTAGCTCTTCTGAATTGTTGGGTCTGGTGTATTGCATCTTCTTCTTCACAATACCCCATAGATTTTCTATGGGGTTAAGGTCAGGAGAGTTTGCTGGCCAATTAAGAACAGGGATACCATGGTCCTTCAACCAGGTACTGGTAGCTTTGGCACTGTGTGCAGGTGCCAAGTCCTGTTGGAAAATGAAATCTGCATCTCCAAAAAGTTGGTCACCTGCAGGAAGCATGAAGTGCTCTAAAACTTCCTGGTATGTGGCTGCGTTGACCCTGGACCTCAGAAAACACAATGGACCAACACCAGCAGATGACATGGCACCCCAAACCATCACTGACTGTGGAAACTTTACACTGGACTTCAAGCAACGTGGATGAAGTGCCTCTCTTCTTTTCCTCCAGACTCTGGGACCTTGATTTCCAAAGGAAATGCAAAATTTACTTTCATCAGAGAACATGACTTTGGTCCTGTTTCTCTTTAGCCCAGGCAAGACGCTTCTGACGCTGTCTGTGGTTCAAGAGTGGCTTGACACAAGGAATGCGACAGCAGAAACCCATGTCTTTCATACGTCTGTGTGTGGTGGTTCTTGAAGCACTCACTCCAGCTGCAGTCCACTCTTTGTGAATCTCCCCCACATTTTTGAATGGGTTTTGTTTCACAATCCTCTCCAGGGTGCGGTTATCTCTCTTGCTTGTACACTTTTTTCGACCACATCTTTTCCTTCCCTTCGCCTCTCTATTAATGTGCTTGGACACTGAGCTCTGTGAACAGCCAGCCTCTTTAGCGATGACCTTTTGTGTCTTGCCCTCCTTGTGCAAGGTGTCGATGGTCGTCTTTTGGACAACTGTCAAGTCAGCAGTCTTCCCCATGATTGTGTAGCCTATAGAACTAGACTGAAAGACCATTTAAAGGCTTTTGCAGATGGTTTGAGTTAATTAGCTGATTAGAGTGTGGCAACAGGGGCCATCAATTTTGAACCTTTTCACAATATTCTAATTTTCTGATATGATGAATTTGAGATTTTCATTTGTTGTCATTTGTAATCATCAAAATTAAACAAAATAAACATCTGAAATATATGAGTTTGTATGTAATGTATGAATATAATATACAAGTTTCACTTTTTAAATGGAATTACTTAAATCAATCTACTTTTTCATGATATTCTAATTTTATGACCAGCACCTGTACTTGCAGAGTTGTCAGAACTTTTGTCTTCTAACACCTGGACGATGATTTCAATCACCCTTTTGCCTCCTTCTCCTGTGCATGCACGGTTTCTAAAAGTATTTTTTGGTTCCCCCACACAGTGCTGAAAATCACCAATTCAAAATGCATGATTACCTCTTTGTAATGGATTGGTATCAAGTGTGTCAACTAGGAACTCCGTAAACAAAGGGGAAGGGTTTTTGTGATGCATCACTTCTAAATAACCAAAGTATCTGTAAGCTTGGTGCTCATTATTTAAAGTTTGAGAACTAATGCAAAGTGTCTATATAAAGGAATCATGGCGAATCATATAAGTTAATCAATAAGTTATATTGTCCCCTCCCACCCCACAGGCGCCACAAGCTTTACCGGCCCATCCGAAGGTCACTTGTTGAGGATGCCTGTGCCCGTTCTGATACAAGAGGTCCAATGGTTCGCCTGAGGGAGGCGCTCTTCCCCTCCAGTGAGGAGAGCCGCCACCTGCTGCATGAAAGACACCCTTTGTAGGGTTTGGAGGAGTTACATCCAACAGGTGTTTCTCTTACTTTAAAAATGGTAAATGATACTAATAGCAATGTGTCTTAAGATTAGTGTGCTGTCTGAAAAAAATCCTAATGCTTTATAATACATTTACTAAACAGGTTTTTTAACTTGGTCCTACAGCACTAATTTTATTACCATTTTGGAATTAATGTTCTGTGGAAAAGTTTGAATAAGCCATATTGGTATCTTTGATTAAAGGATACTAAATTTCCACGTGAGGTATGCTGGGCACCATGTTCCTAAGCTCTTATTAAACCTTTATAAGTTTGTTTTTCCCCACACTATTATACTTTTAAATGTGAGTCCAGATTATTTGAAGTCTGTTTTTTTTTCTTATCCTAAGTTGAAAGTGCTGTTCATAAAACCTAAGTTTTGCAAAGAAAATTGTGTTTAATTTGTAGAGATGCTAAAAACAAGTTACAAGGTATGAATGAACATGCTAACATTTATGTTAGGTAATCATATAAAACGTCGATAACCATTAATCTTGTTTGATTGTTAAAGCTTAAACTGTGAAAATGTGTAGTTGAGCTCCTTTAATTGAAACTGCAACTGTCAAGAAATCTTCAATAAAATAAATATTTTAAAATCAGTACTTTGTTTAATTTATTAACCTGGATTACTGAAATATTGCCAAATAAATATTGTGAACATCGAAACAAAGAAAAATTGGCCATTGTACCAACTTTAGAAAAAACATGCTATTTTGTTCAACAGCTGACAAACATGTTCGAATTAAAATAAAAAGCAGTATTACTTTTTTTTTTTTATATATATAAACCTTTAGGAACCAGAATTCATTCAGCAGGACAGGCTTACGTCTCATGTCAACATCAAAGAAAAGCCAACAGACTTATTTTTATTTTTTTTATTCAGAGGCATTTGACAAGTGGAGCTGTGTGGTTGTGGGGAGGTGACAGGGCACAAGTATGGTTGCAGAGGGGGGAGGAGAGAACATCATGCTGATAGATCACTTTCCAAAAACAGATTCAGTTCCTCTTATTTGTCCCATACCAAGGGAAAAAAAAAATTTTCCACATTACACAGCCAAGAAATACTAACCAAAAAGGCTTTTAAATCAGTGAGTTTAGCATCTGCTAAAGACAAAAGGGACTTGCATTTTCTTGTTTTCAAGTCATTTAAATCCAAAAGATCGGGAGGGGGGGAGAAACAAACAAAACAGTCCGTTTATTTTTTGTATAAGACTGAAAGCAAAAGAAATCAAAGATTTGATTTTCTTACAGAAAAGAAATAGCACTAGTTTGAATATATTTAAGCCACACCACCAAAAATAGAAAGCAGAAAGGAATTACCATTCAGGAGTTCAATAAAGCCAAAAAGGAGTATATATATATCAATAAACACTGTCAAAAGAAAACATTTCTAATCACTTTCCATTATTCTTAAATCTACAGAGTTCATGATTTTAAATTTTAATTTCTCTTATGGGGAGGTGGACAAAAGTGTGTGTGAGGGGGGGGTGGGTTTCTAACAAATGGAAGAATGCCTCTAATTCAAATATGTGTCTAAAGAGGTAGATCAAAAGCAAACTGGATGAGGGGAGGGTGAGTATCAGGAGGATCCTTTTAAGTATCACTTGTGCCCCTAAGTTAAGGATGGTGTCTGGAGGGCGCGCCCAGTTAGAAACAAGTGTTTGGGGTACTGAGGTATTGGTGCGCGCTGGCGCTCAGTGGGGGCGGGGTGAGGCGTCCAGAGCCACGGCAACTCCCCCCACCCCTCTCCCCCTCAGCTGAGGTAGACTGCGTTCTACTGTGGAAGCATGGATACACTAGCACTTTTACCACAACCGATATACATTTACATTCGGCGAGGAAACAAAGGAAATAAAATTGACTACGTTTTGGATCTTTGCTTCCCGTCCGAGTGAGGGTTCATTCACAAATATGTTTGACTTGTTTCCCCTGGATGAGCAACAAAAATAAAAACCTAATCAAGTCAAAAATAGGTCAACTCACTTTCTTAAAGCACAAAACATAAAAATGCTCCCATCTGTGCCACTCCCTCTACTGTTACCATCCAGGAGGATATGAAGGACTTAATGGCCATGTCATTGCTATGGCGGAGTTTGGACCTTAGCAGAACAGCATCATCAATACGGCGGTGGATGACACAGAAATGAAACGGACCAAAGAGGGGGCAAAAATAAAATGGCAAAGACTCTGACACAGCCCCTATAAGAAGGCAAAAGGAGGATCTGACATTAAACTACCAACAAAACCCCAAACAAAATGGCATTGCTGTTAATATAAACGGTTGGCATTTTTTTTTTGCACGGTTTTAGTTCTTTGATTTTAAGAAGATGATGGACCTGAAAGGGGGGAAAAAAAGACAGAGGCAATTTTTTTCTCTATACACTTCTGTCAGCCGCCAGCTGAGGGGAGGGGTGGGCACCAACTCTTGTTCCAAGGCTGCTATGTACAAATAAACCTTATGTACAGGGTCACCTCTGTCACACATCCACATGTACAATGCCGCCTAAAGCACCAGAGTTGAAGGCAAGGTCAGTTGGCAGCTGACCTGAAAAGTTTAAATTTTCTTAAAAAAATAAAAATGTTCAAAGACTATCAGCTTTATAAAGTATACAAAATACCACAAAAGCAAAATAAAAAGAAAGGAACTTTTTTTTCTCCATATAATCTTTTTTTTTTCTCTTCTGAGGTACTAGATCCTGAGGTAGATAAACAAAATGCATATTAAATTGGATTTTCAGGGCAGCAGCAGTTTGGCACCCTTTTCCCCAAAAGGGTCAGTCGCCGTGCTGCCCACTCCACTAAATATATATATATTTAATTCATTTATATATCGATCTTCTCATATAGGTCTATCTATAAAATGCATCCGAATTTCATTTTAAAATGCCACGGTCATTCCGAGGGCAGGACGCCTGATATAATACACCCTCAAAGGGGTTCCTGTCCTAGAACAAGAACTTTCCCCCTAAATGTGGCCCATCCAGCCAGAGCCAACCCTCCCCCCAAATAAACCTCCGTTGGTCCCACCAGGACCAAGCAATGCCTTTCTTTCCACGGAAAAAAACCCGTGAGAAAGCTTTAACCCATTAAGAAAAAAACAAAACGAACATCTTTAAGGTACCAAAGATGGGGAGGGGGGTATATCTTCGTGGTTTTAGTGTAAAACTAACAAAATGAAACAAAAAACTACACCCAGGGGTGGAGTGGGGTGGGGGCGGTCAAATGGAGGGCAGGTGATGTTGGTGGGAGCCCTCAGTACATTCTCACAGCAGATGCAGAGAGGTGAAGTGGGTCGAGCTTTAAAAGAGCAAGGTCTTACTGCCCACACCTTAAGGTCATTAAGTTGTTCAGGGAGGGGTGGATGTTTGGTTCCGATGACCTGACCCCTGAGATGTGCATTAGGATCCAGTGTCATTACTCCCCCCCCATGCTCCTTCTGAGCTGTTCTGCATCCGTCCATCTTTCAAGTTTCACGATGGATCCAGTCACCGCTCCTCCAGATCTGCTGGATCATTACTTCCTGCGCTGCATCGGAGGTTGGGCTCCCGATGGAGACTTAGGCTGCTGCTGCTGTTGTTGCTGCTGTTGCCTCCTCACCTGAGCCAGGATCTCCTGAATCTTCCTCTGGGCCAACTAAATAAGACGGCAGAACATTAGTACCATCAAAACTGAATCCAATCCTGGTCTAAATGCACTACATTTCATTTTTGCTGCCATCTGCTGTCTATTATTGAGGCTTCAAAAACAGCAGAAGCAAAGAGCAATCTAAAAGGGGTAACAGAGCCTTGAATCAAAACTTATTATTGATAAATCGTTTTTGAAAAAAAAAAAAGAGAAACAAACACCCGTTTTATAGACTGTGATAACCATGAAAACCACCTAACCAGTCTAGTCAGATTCACTGACGGCAACAAGAATCTGTCAAACTGAGAAATTTTATTTGCAAATAAATTTGTGTTCTCACCAGTGTATTTCAGTGTAGTGGTCAGTCATGTTAAGGAACGCTGAAAAATCATGCCAACGCACTTATTTTCAATAAGCATAAGGCCCTTTGACCATTCAATTCAACAGTTTCAGCAGCCTTATCAATCATGAAAATTCTTTGAAAGATATCTTGAGTTGTGAACAGAACAGGAAACCTAACACAATATGCCATGATCCATTTTGTTCAGCTTCATTTATCCAGAAAAGGACTTTAGTTCCAAGGCTAGTAATTCAGCCCAATGTGGCCTGGCTGGAGCATTTAATTGTCCAAAACCAAGGATGCCAACATTAGCGATGGCAACGCCTCTGGTTGCTGTAATACGTTTCGCACCAAAATGGTATTTTAAAAGTTTTGGAGATTGGCAAATTTCTTTGCACACAGCAATGATCTTTTCCAATGCCTCTTTGGAGCGTTTTGTTTTAAACCAGAAATGTTTCAACCAGAAATGATTCCAGAAACGAACCGAGAGAACTGCCTTCTGAAGCCACTTGTGTATCAGATTCAAAGACGTGCCAGAAACATAACATTTTAAGATTCTGGGTTCAGGACTTTTATATGTAAAAAAACATACATTCATCTATTTTTAATACATCCATCTATAGTCAAATTTTCAAATTCAAGTCACGGCCCAGATACTTTCATTGTTTGGGTTCCAAACGAAAGTTAATGTGGCAAGGAATGGCACAAATAAAAACCACTAAAAATATAAAAACTTAATAAAGGCCATATTTTAAACTTGTTTATCATTTACTTAAGAGGGTAAAGCCCCTGTCACACCTTGACAATTTAGCCAGCGTACGCCTAACGTACGACAAATCAGGCAAAAATGCTGGCATACCTTAGATAAGTTATAGGTCAATTTTGCATAAGTCATGAGCATGCTGAAATATGCTGGCACAGGTCGACATATGTCAAGTACGTCAAGCATACGTTGCCAGCGTATGCTCAAACGTGGGCCATAAGTTATAGGTAAGTTATCTGATTGTTGACAAATGTAAACTGTAAGGTACACATAAGTCGTGCTATCTAGCTTTTCCAAAACCTACGAGTAACTTGTGCATAGCTGATGCGCAACTTATCTTCCAACATATCTGATGTGTTCCAGATGACCATTGAACACGTTTCTAACTTGGCGTATTTGCAGCTTTTTGATGTAATGGGGGTTCACAGGAGGAAACTGTCAGTCCTCCTCCAGACTTCCTCCCCATCATAGGGTGAGTGTGAAGGTGAGCGTGATGGATCCTCCCTGCGTTCACACCCACAGGCAACAAACTTCATAGCAGACAACGCTGAATCTGCCTTTTCTTTTTATTTATTCTTTTTTTTCCTGCGGGTGTTAAACAGCAGCCAGATTAAAACCGCAATCAAAGAAATTTTTATGGAGGCCGGGCGCCTCCGGGCGCATTGCTGCCTCCCCTCAGGACTCTGACTTGTGACATTTCATGGGCATTACACTGATGTGCATTATGCATAAGCTAGGCTGTCATTGGACACAAGTTATGGACTCGTTATTAATACTTTATATGTCAAAATTGAAAAAAAAAAAGAGCCAGCGTATGCCTGACGTCCCAGAATCTTCTAAAACACTGGCATACCTAGGGCTGGGTACCGAACTTCGGTACTTTTATGGTACCGACCGAAATGCTTCGGTTCTACAGAGTATCGAAACATGCCTCGTCTTTCGGTACCAAGTTTCGGTGATTGGCTGGAACACTTAAGGTGATTGCGTCATCCAGGAAAAATACACAGGTGGTCACGCCTACAGCCAGGGTTCATGTGTATCTTTTGTGAACTGGTTGCAGCGTCGCGGAACCCCTTTAAAATGCCCCCCAGGTCAAAAGTGCGGCTTCACTTTATTAAGACTGATGCTAATAGTGCACAATGCAATACATCGTGCACGGAAATAATTTAAGAGCAGAAAGTCGCTCTGTGTTTGACTGCAAGAAGAGCGGACCGCAGCCAGCGCGACCATCCTCCTCTCAGCAGCCCGTGGGCAGAGCAAAGCCAGAGCGGAGTGAATCATGCTGCTTTCAAACTGGACGCAGCAAGAGCAGCAAAATCTCGTCTGCTGCTTCATTTTTGCTGCTTGTACCAGCTTCTGACGCGCTGCTGAAGAAGCTTTGCTGCTCTGGCTGCGCGGTCGCAAAGTGGGTCAGATGCGCGTTGGGCGGAGCTACTCTATCCTTTATTTGCCTTGCAGCTATATTTGCTGTGATCAGTGGGAATAAAGTAGTTTTATTATGTTTTTAAGTGGGAAAATCCACCTGAAAACGTAATCAGTGCAGTCAGTTCATCCTGCCTTCAATATTTCTGTCGGAGCCGCTCAGACCCCCCCCATACCAGCGGTGCGCTGTCAGTAGGATCCCATTCAACGGGCTTGTTTGTCAGACATGGTAATTTTTCTAAAGGAAAACTGCTAAGTAAAAAGGTCCTCACAATGTAACAGTGAATATTAGACACTGAATTATTTATTTTTTTATGTAAGAGGAAAAATGTAAATGGAAAAACAGAGCTTAAAATAAAACTCAAGATTTGTACTTTTTTATGTTGTGTAATTTTCTTTTTTTTCGAATTGATATTATAAAACTGGTATCGAAAAAAGTATCGTTCAGGAACCGGTATCGAAGTGAAGGTATCGGTATTGGTACCGGAACCGAAATTTTTTTAACAATACCCAGCCCTAGGCATACCTTGAACTTTCTAAGTCGGCAAGGTGTGAAAGGGGCTTTAACAACAAAAATACAGGACTTATGACTGTTTTTCTGTCAGATGTTGTACGTAACTGCCAAGTTAGCCTGTTAAGATGTAATTGGAGAAACATTTTTGAACCGTTTCTTTAATCCAAGTAAAATAATCACATGCCTACAAATATTTGATATGGTGTATTCATGACCCACCTGGCATGCAAAGAAGTGTCCACTGATCTTTACTATGACCTGGTCGTTCTCATCAGGTGTCTGGTCCCTGGGTACCACCACTTCTGCACAGGTCAGGTTCTGCAGCTCATTCACCTGCAGTCAAAAACTTTTCAATAAGAACCATGAACCAGTAATGGCTTTTTTAGACTGTAAAGAGAAAAAATGTATAAAGCTACATTTACCGTTTTTCCACCTTTCCCAATGACGCGTCCAGCAGCAAAGGAGGGAACTTTAATGTGAGCTTCTAGCTTTACCTCTTCCTTCGGCCCAAAAAAGTTCTCTTCTTTAAGCTTGCCAAAGATGCGACACTGGGCCTGGAGTTTAATGGTTAAAGTGGAGATTAACCAAATTGCATTTAATATATTTTAAAGTTATTACCACCCAATGTTATATGGAGAAAGCTTCCAACATGCAGCTAGCACAAGGTCAACCAACGGGTTTGAAGGTTCCGCACCTTAAACTGGGCTTCTGGTGGCCCGACAATTATGACCATCCTCTGTTTGGCATCCATTCCTTCTGCTGGTGCAATCTGAAAAAGTGAAATACCATGTCAATTGCAGCTTTCTCCCATTCTTTAAGTTTACATAATTAAACTTAGCATCACAACATCTGGACTTGACCATTAGTCACCTTGATTGAGGCTCCAGCAAAGTGTGACAGCTGTTTGATGTGTTGACCCTGCTTTCCAATTATGGCTCCCACAGCAAGCGCAGGAATGAACAAGTGAACCGTCTCAGACTCTGGCTGGCCCTGCTGAACAAAAACAGAATTACAAATTTGACAAGAAGACTTAAACTGAACCAACGCGGAAGTTACAGCAAACCAACGTAGCAATACGGATAGGGGATCAAGCAGAGGCAGCTCTATTCTGCAAGAGTTAAACGTCAACAGCATCTCATCAGGAATGGGATCGAACCAGGAGGAACTTTATACCATGCTAACTAAATTAACCGTAGGAATTTCATAAATGTTTCACACTGATTTTCTTAGCGAAAGTGTTAAACATTGCTCAGATGAGGGTAAAATATGGAAGGAAGTGATTAGTTCAAGGAAAAAAAAAAGAAAAAAAGAGAGGAAAACTGAAACCTGGACACTTAGTAACGCAGACCTTTTCTCAGAGTGTGATTAAATGTGAACTAACACTAACAAGCTTCTTTTGGAGAGTTTTTCCTAAGGAAAAGTTGAAATTTCCAATCAACACCAGCACAGTTTACACCGACAATGGTTAGGGAGCTCCAAATCTGGATGAGGTTCTTTAGTGCCTTAGTGTCACACGTTTAAAAACGTTCATATTTTTATGTCCATAAGCTGCAGTGCATCGAGTTAATCATCCAGGCAGTGTGGCTAAAAACTGTACAAAAAAAAACTCTACAAAAACTATAGAGATTCAGTTACACTTTTGTGAAAGTCCAATGTTTAAAGGAAGAACAAAAACAAAAGTATTTGTTTGCCAAAAAAGAAGAAGAGGACACAACATACATGCAAAAGATGGTGATTCTTTCAGATGAGCCTAGACTTGAATCTTCAGCTCCAACATACAAACTCTAGCAAAAAACCAGCCCTGCAGCATGAAATGCGGTAGCAACACGGTGCTGCTCATCCTCATCTAATTATTCTGAAAACCATGTGTAGTTTTCCTTCCACTTCATAATACCCGCTGCTTTATGTTGGTTTATCAGATAAAATTAGAATAAAATGCACTGTAGCTTGTCGTTGTAATAAAATATAACAAAACAAGACAAAGTCAAAGAGTTTGAATACTTGTGCAAGGCACCATAGCCTTGATTGGAAATCAAGACCTGTAATATAAATTTTCAGGGTTCTATCAAGTATGAAAATTAGTCCAGATGTTTGGTAGAAGTTACAAAAATCACTAACATAGGCTTCAAGTCAGAGACACCACAAAGATCACATTAATTGCTAAATTTTGAACCTCTCCTTGTCAGACAGCATGTAGAGCCTGCACAAATTCAAATATTTGGGTAAATTAAGGAGAACTTTACAGCAAACCCAAACCCCTAATCTCGCAGCGAGCAGCCACAAGCCGTGCAAAGCACTTTGGGATGGGTGACTTACAGCAAGTGGCTGGCTGCTTGCCGACAGCATAGAAGCCCAAAACGGCCCCTCAGCCCCATAAGGACTGCACTAGAGGAAAAAAGGAAATGTGAAACTCAGTTCCTCAAGACCGATTTCTGTTTTTGTTTTAGTGATAGTCTTCACAGCCCTCACCTAAACAATGAAGAGAACCAAGTTAACATTTCTGTACAGTATAAAGGAGACCGCTTTACTAACAAAAACAAGCTGTCACTTACGCCATACGAGCATCCGCCATGAGCTCCAGGAGGCGGGACACTGGCCATGGAGGGACCCATGCCTGGTGCTCCACTGGGGAACAAACCCAAAGCGTTCAGATTTAAGCCAGGAATGAGGTTGGATTGGAGCTGGAAACAAAAATCTGAATTTTAATTTGTGAAAGTCAAACATTCAAAATCTCACTGATAAAATCTTATTCTCCATCCCTTATAATCTCAAAACCAGGGAAAAAAAGGCTTGCAAAAAAGCTAAATTAGCATCCTATCAAACTTTCTACAATTAATCACATTCTTAAAAACAACCTCCAGCAACAACTCTTAAGGAAGCCGCTCTACATTGTTTTAGTTCAAACCAACTAGCAGAATCTGTGCCTAAATCCGAATATTAAAGCTCATGAAATTCAGAAAAGAAAAAAATTAAAGTTGATGTTTAACAAACTGTATTTCTCAGAGTTGCTGAAAAGGTTTTGGATCACTGTCTTTACAAGATGTAGGATATGAAACTGCTGCCAAAGCAGTTAGATTTAAAAGTGCCAATTGAGCGTTTTACTTCTCCCAAAAAAACCTCCTGTGGGCAGAGTTATCGTCCAGTTTTGGTCAAGCCAAAAGTAGTCCGGCAGGTTTTTAGGTACAGCTAAATAAAACTTTTCTCTTCCCAAAACATTATGTGTTCAAAAGAGTGATATTTTCGCATCCCAAAAACATTGTAGTGGAAAAAGTCACACGTCGTTATCAATTGGTCCTATTTTCTCTCTGTTCGTATCAGTGCGCGCCGTCATTCAGACAGCGAGCCCAACAACAGCCATGCCATGTCTCCCTCCGCCGCGAAAATATCACTCTTTTGAACACATAATGTTTTGGGAAGAGAAAAGTTTTATTTAGCTGTACCTAAAAACCTGCCGGACTACTTTTGGCTTGACCAAAACTGGACGATAACTCTGCTCACAGGACGCTGCCAGGGGTAAGTCAGTGTGATTGCATGCCGCTGGTGATGGGGATGCCATACAGATTCATGTCAAAAATACCGAACTATCCCTTTAAGTAGGAATACGGAGTAGCGCATTGGCTCACAGCTTCTACTGAAAGACTGGGCCTCATTGGCTCAACTTATGCAGAGCTGAAATAGTCTCATTGTTTGTCAGCTTTAATGTGGCAAATAAATGTAAACATGTTTGAACTCAGGACATTTGTTTTCTTCCGTGTCTGCTGCTAGAATGTTCTTGTGCCAAATTAAAATTAGCCCCTTATTCCTTCATTCCCAACTTTGACTTCCCCCTCTGGCTGTTAAGAAAAATCCACAGAAAAGCTGCAACTTCTAATAAACCGCATGGTTCAAAGGGTGGGAAAAAAAAAAAAAAAAAGTAGCTGCATATAGTTTGGACAATGCGGTGATTGTGTAATTTATACATTACCCCATTTTGCCTCCAAGCATCGTGTTGGTGCTTGGGAAATTGCAGAAAAGGTACAGATTTCTACTTTTATTACATGCATCTTTGATAAAGACCAAACCTCACAGCCTTGCAGTTGTTGCTAAAGCTCTTCACTTTGGATATGCAGTCTTCTAGAAGTGACCAGATGAGCTTCTCTGTAGTGAATGGACTTTTAACAGAGGGGTTCAAGTTGTGACCATTCCACTAGGCCTGTGGAATGGTCACAAATAACATCTTATTTAAAAACAAATTTAGCCTCTATATGCAGTGAGTTGTAACATTCACGCTTAACGGTTTGATGGAAGTTAGCACTGAATCTATTCAGTAAGGTCTGCCTCTGTGGGGATCCTCATTTATAATCAATCTGGTCTAAAACTTTAAACATAATTTCAATTCAGCCTCAGTTGTTTTCCTTTACTGCATTGGTGGATCCATGCACGTGTTGGCCGATTCATTAGTGCATTCAGCAGCCATGTAGTGAGATATTAATTTGTTTCATTTGTTTACAAATGTTTTGTTTAAATTAAGACATGTGACATTTTTATTGTTATTTTTAGTTTTTAAATATAGGAACTGAAAGCAATATTAAATCTAAAACTCAACCCTAAAAATAAATATAAAAAAAAAGCATGCAGTTTTTTGCGAATGGACACGTTAGAAAATAGCTGAATAACTGATTTGGTCTAAATTAGAAAAGTGGTTGAATGACCTATTTTAAACAAAACCAGCATTTAAATCAAAGGAACAATATCCCTGATGCCCTATGGGGGTATTGTCAACATTTTACATTCATTAACATGTCTGACTAAAGCAGTTTGAGAGTTTGGCAAAATAATATGTCTGGAAATGTACGAGTTGCATATTATATTCTTACAAAAAAAAAATGTTTTAATTAGTTCAGATTCTGAATTTATGTGCCAAACAAGCAAGACAGATTCTTACATTCATAGCAGCCATGTCGCTCTCATAGGACTCCCTGATCTTCTTCATCACCTCCTCCTCAGCTCTAGAGCATGCATCAATGGAGCCCTTTATCGTGATGGTCCGCTCAGGGTTGTACAAAGTGAGATCCTGCAGCCTGAAGAAGCAGTTGAATTAGAGTTGATGCAGTGCCAGCTGCAGTCTTTGTGAATTTAGTCCATATTAAAGACATCAGGAGCCAGCGGTAAACCGTCTCAAGCTTTCTTACGGTGAGATTGTGATCTTGGTCCCTGTGTCTTGTTCTATTTTTTTCAGGTTGCGTCCTTCTTTTCCTATCAATCTTCCTACAAAGTTGTTGTGTGCAAGGATCTTCAGTGGGATCTCCTCCGTGCTGTAAAAGACAACAGTGCGAAACATTTACAAACAGAACATAAATCAGTCTTTAAGCAAACAAGGCTGCAACTAATGCCATTCGACTAATCCATCAATAAGTCAATATTTTTTCTGCCTGGACTCATTTATTCCATCTCTGCGCTCAGGTCTATATAGTTATTCATTTCATACCAACTCTCCTTTTTCAGGATCTCTTGGAGAAAATAATTTGCACCTGTTGAATTTACACAGATTCCTTTTTTCTTTACATATCAGTTTTAAACCAGGAGTTCATGTCCAGTTGTTTCAGGACATGTAAAAGTCCAGTCATTGTTTTTTTGTCTTTTTTTGCCTACCACAATATTTAAGCACCACTAGTAAACAACCACACAAACCCTCACAGCCCTGACCATCACTCCATTTTTTTTTTTTAGCATCGTAGCTACTGAAGAATCCACTACTTTCTGAGGTACAGTGATCTAGTTTTTCACACGTTAACACGGAGAAGCAGTAGCTCTGCTCTAACATCCTCACCCGACTGACATGAAGAGCCCAGACACCCTATAGAGGAAGCTGATGCATTATATGTTAAGGGGTATTCAGACCGAATGCAGTGTCCGTGGCGACAGCAGTGGATTCACATAGTATCCCTAAGAAAACCTCACAGGGACGGGCAGTCAGCGATGAAACCAACCCAGTAAGTGTTCACCTCCAGCTACTAGATAAGAGCTGAAGCAGCACCGCACAGAGAGAGTGGGGCGGTGATCGCTGAAATTGAAAAAAGCTGAACTTTTCTGTGAAAAGGTGAAGTTGTTTTGAATTTGATTAAATAAGTGCAGCCGAGACAAGGCTTTTTTCATACACTAATCTCACGATACATGATATATAATCCCGTTATTCAGACAAGATATGACTCGATATAAATCAGATACACTAACAACATTTCTGACAGATTTAAAGACGACAGAGTGCTTTAAGTAACTTTGAATAATCAAACCCAAAAAATAAAATCATCAATTACATAGTATACATAACTGGACAGAGAGCCTACGGCTTGCAAATGCTGGACAAAATGAATCACAGATGTACAGAGATTTTTTTTGTTGTTGAAACGGTTCAAATTGTAGCTTACAAGCCTTCGAAGTAAATAAAGTGCAGTATTACAATTACTGTAACAAGAGTTAAAAATCAATAGCTTCTTTTTTTTTTAGCTTGAAAACACTGAACAAGTGAGGTAGCCAGTCTTGCAACCAGTTAAGTAGGCAGTGCCATTGCTTCTCCAAAACATCCAATAATTCAAGTCACTAAGAAGAACATTTCAACATTTAACATAACATGTACCCATCGTAGTGCAAGTAGTTTAGGGCCTGTAGACCTATAAGTCTGTGGGGAAGCTAGTCCAGCCATCAGAAAAGAAATATAAACAACGGCAGCCAGTAATTTAAGTCAACAGGAACAAAAATTAATCCAACAAAATTGCACCCATTAGCAGAGTAGCTCTAGACCTTAAATGAACACAAAACAGAAACTCTCCTCTTCACAAAAATGCAGACCAAGTTATCTACATTCTCTTAACTTTTGTTCAGGAATAGAATCTGGTCGATATGCTGTGGGAGAAGTGTACTTCTCTGAGCAGTGATATCTCTGGTGGGGGAAAATACCCTCTCCTAGGAAAAACTAGTGCCACGAAGGGACACACAATTTTGTGCGAACTCTGAAGCAGATGGAAACATGTAGGAACAACCACCAATGTAAAGCATGGTTTGTTTTGGGTCACCTCACAGCTTCTTTGGGTCTTTTACTGCAATGGTGTCTGGGTGATGGCATTTTAGGTGGGCTTGCAGGTTGGTGGCGTTTCCCGATTATTTTACATTTGTGTGACACAGCTTGCACACCACGGAGCTTTTGTCTAGGTTCTCGCTTTTAAATTCCAAGCTGCTGGATTTATATTTTCCCCCATTTCTTGCTCAGACTGTACAGGTAGATGTCACATACAGTAGCAGCGCTTTCCTTGATAGGCCCTTGGATGGTCCCCTACAATTCCTTTTTAAACATCTATCCTTGTACTAAAATATTCTTTATCATGATTTGCAGACATTAAGATCTAAAGAGAAGCGTCATCTCCTGATCAGACCCTGTAATTCAGTTAAAGGGTGGAGTCAGAGTAAAACAATATCTAAGAGGGGGTCACTCCAGTGGCTGGAAGTTGGAGGGGATATTGCTGGGAGCTGTACGGAAGTGGGCTGCCATTCGGCTGGGAAAGTATCCAGACAAGAAAGTAGCTTTACAGCGACACCAGTGGCCGGCTTCCCTAATCATTCTTTCTGCAAATCCAACGGGGGTAAACAAAGGATGTAAAGGGCATTTATGCATCAACACTGGGAGCTTAAAAATCAATACTTTCTTCGAAGAAATATCGATTTATACAGCAAAAAAAACTATAAAATTGCACAGCCCTATCCTGAGGACACATGCTTTCTATGCAGCTTTATCTACCAAGAAATTCAGACAGTCTTCCAGACAAAGCTATGCGGAGCTTCTTGGACTTTTTAAAAGTTGTGCCGGCACAGGAATGCCATTTTATGTTGTGTAATGACTTGATATACTGAAACAGCAGCACTAACATCTGTGATGTTGATGTCATCGGCCATCATCTTTAAATCCAAAGCAGCACAAATGACAGTTTTACCTGCTCAAATCAAATATCACTGAAAAAAAAGAGGGTTTTTATTCAATTCTGAGCTTAATGGGGGGATAGTTGATCTCTGGATGACCTAAAAATATATATTATTTCTGAAACAAACGTAACACAAATGTCTTTTTTTTTATTTTACAAATCATCATTTTAACTGCAAAAATCTAGACTAACGGACCTCTGACATGAAAAACACAGCAAATACACTGAATGGTTAGAGGGGTTACAGCTTCACGCAGCTGAAGCTCCTCCAATTTGATGACACAGTCCAGGGTGTAAACACTATCTGAAAAGCAGAGCAGTGAACTCACAGAAATCAAGGGCACCGAGCCCGATCTTAATGCACCTTCAGAGTTGGAAAACAAAAATCGCAAGCTACCGAGTTCGTTCCAAACAACAGCAGCACCCTCATTTTATCATTTTATCAGTCAGCCCATCTTTTTCTGGATCAAACAACACTCATTCGACTGCAGATACCAAAGGTCCCTTGTTTGAGGCAAATCCTCTTCCTTTTTAAAACAGAAGATACACCGAATTTACAGGGCTTGAGAGGTAAATGCATAGGTGCTGTACTAGACGCACCACGGAAGGAAGGGCCTGTATTTAAGTCTGTATTTAGCTTGCTGGCAGACTGAGACACTGTCCCCACAACTTCCTGTAGTTCATCATAGTAACGGTAACATAGTTCTACAAGTCCTGTCAACAATGAGTGTTGCATAAACCATTTGCCATCAACATCCCTGATTAGCCCGACTAATTGCTGCAGCCCTAATCAAGAATTTGTCTTAGACATCCAAGAAAACATCCGAGAAAAGTAGTTTCATGTTGAAAGAATTTAAAATATTTGCATTTTAAGGTCCAACCAACATGGGCTTTGATTGCTTTAAATTTTACTCATCAAGGGAATTCAAAACCTCTAAAATGATCCCATGAAACTCCAAAAAGCATGAAAATAAAGCAATAAAAAGGTTTGGTTTAGGTCTTTGATGCATCACTGCAGGTAAAATTTTGTAGTTCCGAGTCCTTAACTGGGCAAATAAGATTTTAATCCTCTTTTAAGTAGACCTAAAGTATTGCCTAGTCATCAAATAAAAAGATATTTATCTTATAAAGTCTGGTACACTGATTAAAGATGCCGGATCCAAGCAGAAACATCCAAAAGATGAGATCAAATACTTAGAAAACATAATACATGTATAGATACTTAGAGCCCGACTCTGGGTTGAGCGGAGGTCAAGAAGAGGAGACAAAAAGGACAATGATCAGATGGTTACACTACAATGTTTTCACAGCATCTCAGACACTGGTTAATATTTGTCAAAGCAGTCTGGGGTAATTTAGTGTGACCAGCCATCTGAATCAAATGAATGGCTCATTAGCAGGCCTCTACATAATATGACGACATGCTGGGGAGGCTATTCAACTTTGATTTAGGTGTGTTCAGCCTCTAAAGGCTGGAGGAGAGTAACTCCCGATGACCTCTGCTTTTAGGCGCCATTTTCCAAAAGGAAATGACTGAGCTTTTGCACATTAAAGATCACAGAAGAACTTACAACTTTGTGTCGACTGCTTCCTTCTGCATGATATCCATGATGGTTCTGCAGGCATTTGAACAGCCTTCGGGAGTGGAGTGGATCGTAATTGGCTTTTCTGCCGCTCCTGCATTTTCCTTTCGATGGATGTCGATCCTGTGATGTGGATGAGATTCAATTAAAATTACAAATGCTACACAAATTAAGGTTTTGACAAAATCCTGACCTCGGTCTACGTACTTTGAGTGAGTCTGCTTGGTGATGTTCCTTATAGTGGCGCCCTCCTTGCCAATGATTGCCCCTACGAACTGCGTGGGAACCAGCACGCGCAGCGGGATGTCCGACTGTACTTTGGGACGTGCACCCAAACCCGGGGAGCCGGAACGAGGAGGTCCTCTGGCGTTGAAGTTTCTCCGACCACCTGTAGGAGGACCTTCTGGTGCAGCCGTCTCATCTGGGATATACGACACTTTCAAGGCATAGTTCTCCATCATCGACCCATTCAGCTTTTCCATTGCTCTAGGGGAAAGTGACAGAATAGTCAGTAACCCCATGTCCACCTCAAGAATTTAGCCCTCACTAAGCACAGCTATGTAGTATAATTGATGTACACCAGGGGGCACCAGATGGCTAATTTAATCCCCTTTCCCTACAGGGGCACACCTCCACCTCCTGCTCCTTCTTGAATGTCAAATTCTGCTAGATTGACTTTGAAACAGCAGGGAGATGATGCACAGGAGGAATAAAAAAATGGCTGAGAGTGCAAAACAAAAGGCATTAAGACAAATGTTTACTTACAATCTTGTCTGGTCCCTGGTTGCATATCGAACATTCACTACTGCAGTCTCTGTCTCAGTGTTAACTGTGGGGGGACATGGATGCTGTTAGTCATATTCAACAGACAGAGGAACTCAGAAAAGGTGCAAATGATGCAAAGTCAGTAATTCTTCGTTTAATTCAGAAATCTATTTAATTTTCTTTTCAACGGTCACTTAAGAACTGGTGTACTATAATCAAACTAATCCACTCTCTAGTACAAAATCTGTTTTTTAATCAAAAATCTTTTTGGAAAACAGAAAAAACAAAAACAAATCTAAAATAAGTAAAAGTGTCCACTGATGGGGTCAGTTGATCAGTTTTATGTATAAACTTTTAGATAAAAAAAAAAAAAAAAAAAAAAAAAAAGCAATTCATTTGATCCAAATCAATGCTTAAAGTCTTATATTAGTGCGACTTGTTAGTTTAATATTTCTAAAAGAAAAGGCACAGATTTCATGAGAAAGGATGAATGAATGAAGTTTTCAGATTTGGACATGCATTCTATACCATGGTCCATCTCTAAAAATTGGTGAGCAGAAGAAGTTTGGTTAATTTCACCGAACTCACTCTTTGATTATTTGTGAATTCAAAGCTTAATTTCCCCTCAAGTGATTGACATTGTATTCCCACCAGAGCTTATATTCCTTTCTATGTTCCAGCAGGTACTACTGACCTATGTTCTAACAGCTCATCACATAAGTTATATTATTTCATAAAGAACTATCTGGGTCAGCCAATACATTATTTATACAGCATATTTCAGCAGTAAGATAATTCAAAGTCATGTAGATGAGGTATTGGAGCGACATAAAGATAACATGGGTGTGAAATTGCATCTCTCTTTTGAAGATTTTTTACAATCATGTGTTTTTTTTCCTGATATTTATATATCCTACACTTTAAAATATGAGCTTTACTCTTAAAGGGGAAGTGCAAAAGCACCAATGCAACAGTGCCATTCAGGTGTGAATCACACAGCAGGCTATTAAGTGTTGGCTGAAAAAGTTATATAAAAAGAGGAAGCAGCAATAATCAGTAGAAATACATTGTTAGTTTAAACTGATTTGGTTAAAGTTGGACTAAAATTTGTATTCAACAATATTTCTACTTAATTTCATGTTAATCGCTGAATCCTTTGATACCATTTGCCTTTTCCATGTGTTGCACATATTTGAGTCAGGTATTTCTGTTAATGAAAAATGTTCCGAAAGGGTGCTGCAAATTACACACACCCCAACATGGACTAAATTGGGTTGGTAAACATTCTTTCAACATTCAACATGTAAATTTGTTTTTATTGCATCGAAAATAAAAATGCTCAACTACTCTATTGCTGCTTTACAGTCACAGTAAACTATATAAACTGGTAAAAGCCTGCATATCTTTAGCTTGGGAAAAACTCATGATCATTTATGTGTTTAATTGAACAAATCCTAAACACTGTTTTACCACACTCTGCAGATGCAGAGAGAATGATGTCAAATGGCTATTTCACGTCACACTTCAGACTATCAAATTCAGTTGCCATTACCTCTTTGTGGAATTGGTCAATTTAAGAATTATTTCCTGGATATTTTCAGCCCAAAATGCTTATTACCTTTATATTTACTGTTAAAGGTCATCTGCCCAAATCTGCTTAAAGATTTCAAATGCTACATTTATATGCAACAATAAGTCTTTTTTTTTAAGCAAATAGTTTTCTATATAAATATATCTAAAGTGTTTCATCTCAATGTACTTTTTTTTTCAGAAAACGGAAGTACTACAGTGTGTTCAAGTTACAAAAAAATGTTACCGCAGTAAAAGTTAAATTTGCCCTGGATGAAATTCTAACCCATCCTCAGAGTGTGCAAAATAAGGCAAAGTGTCGCATCTTTTACATACAACTGCAGACATGTTTGAAGCAATAAGCAGAGAAATAAAAAAAATATATATACAAAAACTTCCTCATTGTGTCGATTTAGTATTGGAATGTCATAAGAAAGGGCTGATAGAAAATGAAATCAAACTTTTGAACTGAAAAGAATTTGTCATACCCTGTACAGCTAAAACATATTTTGGATTACAATGAATTTTGAGGGCAAAAGAAATTTAAATGCAAATATTTCTCCTGAATTTTGCAATGAAAACCTTAAAGAAAACATTTTAAATAAGTCATTTTTTCACAGTTTTAACATAATTATTTTATACAAATACTTTTACAAAAAAATGCAACTTAAAGAGCTCATTGCAAACAATATATAAAGTAAAGCATAAAATTGACCTTAATATGCGAAGCATTAAGAAAATGTATAGAAAAGGCAAATCAAAGCCATTTACCTTGTTCACAGCTCTCTACTGCACCATACTGTGCAAGCATACCGTCCAAAACCTTAAACAAAAAGGGAAGAAAACCTCTGATTACCTGAAACTTTCAGATACAACCAGTTAAGATGTAGACATTTAACATCAACTTGTTCATTAAATGCTGTTGAATTCTTAATCCAGTGATATCTGCAATTTCAGTTTTGCATTTCTTGGAAATGCCTTGCAAAACTAATGCCCAGTTTGTGATGTAAGAGCTTCTTTGTTGGGAAAAGACCATGAAGCAAAACAACTGTACATCTTTACATGGCTGGGGGATGAATAGCTAAGGAACAAAGGTAAATCATTGAAATTTGGGGTTAAAGAGTAGATTTAAACATAAATAAAAAAATCAGAACTATAAATATATTTAGACAATATCTAAAAATGCAAATTAATTAACTAGGTTTGCAACTGTGCCAAATTTGGAGCAAAAGGGGAAAAAATAGGGGAGAAAAAAAAGAAAATCTACATGAGGTAATCATGGTAACGAGACAAACGTATAGGGATCTATGAGTTTCCCAGCTGCCAAAATCTGCTTTAAATTGCATTTCATGTATGTTGGTGCATTTCGTGTTGGTGAGAAGCTAAGCTAGGACCTCTGACCATACTCAGTCAAACTTATGGCCACGCCCCCCAGAGAGCTCAACCCCACTTTCCAGCCAACAAGACTGCAGCCCCCAGCCCCCACCTCCATAACTCCAATAAACCACCAACCAGATAACATCCCGCCTCCCTGCCATCTGCGCTCGCTGCCATTGGCTGCTCCCGCCCCCCATACTGCTCCCTTAAAGCAGAGCCTTGCTGTCTGGCTTCTGCGAGTGTCTGTCCGCCTGTGGGGGCCAATGGAAATCCAGGCCATTCAGGAAAGGGTGGGGTGCATTCCAGCAGGAAGCAGCAGCAGCTGGGGGGAGGGGTGTGGGGTTTATGCTACACATTCTGTGAATCAGCGCACATGGTGGGGAAGGGGAAACAGTCCAAGCCCACCTACCCACAGCTTGTGAAAAGCTCTTGTCCCCATTCTCTTTTTTGGAGATTTACACACATCCTTACCCAGTTGTGTACCTCACCACATATACGCAAGGCCCTTTTATAAAAAAAAAAAAAACAACCATTTTGGTCATTCTAACCCTACAAATCTATCAGTTTTCTTCCATTTTACCAAACAGAAAGCTGTCCTGCTACATGCTAGGATCAAAGTGGAGCTGCATTAGAAAGGGACATGCGTAGGCAAAGCGAGCCCACCATTACAAAACATGGGCTGGTCTGCAGCCATTTGATCAGTTTCTGAATCCTGCTGAAATTTTAAGGGCTATGCATTAACCACCAAGGTTTGGAGCGGCATGTGTTGTGCAATAAGACAACTCATCTGTGTTGTTTTTGTTCATGAAGCAGAAGATAAAAAGAAAAGCACAAGTTATCAGAGTTAAACCTCTGTAAAGCAGGCAGGAGGTGAGGGGGGGTGTCGTATACAGCTGCACGAAATTCCACTATCAGACAGTGGGACTGAAAATAAAGATTTGTTTTAAGGAAAACTTGCATTTTTTAAATGCTTGACGAATGTACATTTACGCAATGTGTGCAAGTAATTTTTTTATTTTTTTTCCCACAGACAGGGCAGAACATGACGGACACACACGGGACTGAGGTCGAAGCTTCAGTAGGTTTTTGCCAATCAGACAGCAGCTATGAACTCTGACCACGCTGCTTCAAGTGATATACATTTTAACACAAAGCTGACCCTTAATGGAGCAGCAAGGAGCATGAAACACAGGCGGAGGGTCACTTTGCCCCCTCCACTGCTGTCTAAATCTGCTGTAGAAATCCGCCTGAAGATCATCCAATGAACTTACGCAACCAGACAGCTTCACATGGTGAAACCAGACATGTTTCTTGAAGACATCACCCTCCCACTCAAAAAACCCCCAAAAAAACAAAGACGGACAAGAGCTGACTTCCAAGATTTAAAAAAGAAATTACATTACGCCAAATTCACATTCTATGCAATAACTCCTGACCTTTCAAGGCTATGACAAGCCCAAATCTAACACTGCCTTTCAGTTTTATAAGAGATTAACGTAGAACCAAATAGTCTTGTAAAGCAAATATTTTCATAAATAACTGAGGGGAACAATATCCACACAAAAAAATTGTCTAAAACCATCTCCTTAAACACCACTTTAACTAACACAACCAAGGGTGGCAGACAGAAATTTACAATTTGAATTTTAAAAAGCTCAGGAATTAATATAAAATACTGACTGGGTCTATTAAGGTCCACCAAACTTAAAAAAAAAAATGAATAAAAAAAAATAAAAAAATGTCAGAAATTTTTTCAACCACACCACACACAGTTCCTTAAACAAGATCTATGAAAACATGTGAGCAAGCAGCGTCGTCTTCAGCTGGGTGGACCAGTTTATCCAACATTGTCCCTCCCCCACCTGCTGTGAATTACTAGTAATATGAAAGTTTTACTTAATAAATAAAAAAAAAAAAAAAAAAAAAAAAAAACTAAACAAAAAAAAACCTTTTTGGCTATAAATGTTTGTAAGAACCAGTAGCTAAACCAGATTTTTTTTTAAACATTTTTAATCTAACAGCCAGTGAGCCATGGGCAGCATTGTAATCTACAGAGCATAACTTTATTACCTACCACCAAGTATTAGCACATGAACTCAAAATAAAAGTCCACAGAAAGACAGACTTTGACTCAAAAATAGGTATTTCCTTCAAATTCTCAGTATTTAATTAGAAAACTTAGTTAAAAACAAAATCTCCAAAGAGCACCTTAGACCAAATGTTTCCTTCATCTTTTACAGCCATTAATAGAAAAGTAAATCCAGATTGGTTGGAATCAGAATTGGCAGTTGACAACTAAATAATGAGACAAGGCCTGTTCAGTGCTTCTGTCTTCTAACCAGATAAATGTGACAAATGAAATAAGTTTTTTTTTTTTTTATACATTTTGGCAACAGCAATGTAGCTTTTCAGTCTTAAATCTGGTGATAAAAATGTTTAAATATCGATATTTTTTTATTTATAGTCACCACATGTCAGTCTCAGCTCTGTCTGCTGCCAAACCGTAACCTTTAAAAACAAAAACTAAGCATACTGAAAGGTGTACCAATCACATTTTCTTTTTTTATATATAAGAAACAAAAGCCAATACAAAAATGCCTTAAGCTGGTATAATTTCGAAATTCCATAACTTATCCTCAGCAACAAAATCACAGTTTAAAAAGTAACATCAATCTCTTGAGGTCCTCACAGCTTTTTGTCCACAAACATTTGATACATAAACCTAAATCTCACTATTGGTACCAATTCAAGCTCAAGCCCGGTCAAATAATCAAATTCATGCTTAATTTCAAACCAAAAGCAAGGTGACTCCAGAGGCCACTAAACGAGAGCCCAGTGGTGAAACATGGTTGTGCCACACCCTGGAAGGAGTTAGCAGCCTGTTCACACTCACCTCCCACTGCATATGAGGCGGGATGTTCCTGATCTGCAGCTTACAGCTCCTGGACAACAAGAGGGTGGGGGATGGATGAAGAACAAAGGGGGAGGGGGGGGGGAGAAAATAGTTAATGACTTAATGTCAATAAAGGCATGAAGCTACAAGTGAAAATACAAATTTCTTTCAAATTCTGGTGTGTTCAACTTGCAAAAAAAAAAAAAAAATAGAGCTAGAGAATTCAGAACTTCAAAAAGTTGGGAAACATGCACAATATAAGCCACACATTATGGGTTACGATAGATTTACATTTAAAATATGCAGCCTTCCCTTCAAACTCTGCTGTAATGGTGTCCTTGCGTTCTTTCATGTTGAAAAAAAGCCAGTTGTGTTAAAAGCTTTACTCTCAATCCATACATTTAAAGTACTGTGCTTGCTCTGTGGAACTGTGTGATATGTTCGGACCCTCGGCGAGGGGAGGGACTACGGGGATGCAAATGTTCTCAGAAACTAACAGGAATCTGGCCTAAGACAAGTCAAAATCGTGTATTTGTTAACACAGACTGCTCATACAGAAAGAGAGGAGACCAGCAATTACAATGGTGCTGCTGTGCTCCGTCACCAGAAACACAACAAGGACAGAAATACCCAATTCATTCCTTTTAGCATTAAGGAACCCCCCCCCTTGTTTCATTAACCCAATAGAATCATGCAGAGCCGCTATGTGTTGCTTTCCAGGCAGACAGTGGAAGTTCAGAATCAGTGTTAAAGACTTTCACAACTGCTAGTGTGCTACATTTAAAAAGGTACAGTTTATTTCAAAGTCCACACACACCTACCTGCAGGAAAAGACACAACTATAGGGGTTGGAATATGATTACAGACACCAAGGCTTTACCTTTAACCCAAACTAGCTTTAAGATCCATTTTACACTCACACCAAGTGATTTATGTATGGTTTTTACATCTAATGTAAAAAGAAAGGTGTGCTCTGACCTTCTTTTGAGTACAGAAAAATCTTTCAAGGTGCCCTGAACAACAAACACATCTCCCCAATTAAATATATACATCATAAAACTTGTAAATTTGATCATCTCAATTACACAAAAGTCTAACTGTAGTGCGCAGACATTTTTGGGGCAAAAATAATGACCACAGTTCATGAAATTCTCTCGTTACATGCCACCCCAATCAAGCAAACTGGTTCAATTTGACAAGATTAAACAAATGGAAAGTACCCTTTTCCCAAAGGCCAAATTGTAAAGAAAATTCCAAAATAACTCAACAGGAATTTCAACCCTTTCCGCTCCGCAGTGCCATTCCTGGCTCATCTAGCGCCTTTCCTTTGCACGGTCCCAATGCTCCGCATTGCGGTGGGAGCGCCATGCAAGATGTGCAAACGCACAAAGTACTTCCAGTTGGATTAACCTATAGCTGTGCACACACACACACACAAGAAGTCAGCCAGTGTACGTGTTGGGATTGGGCTGGTGGGGGTATACATTCCAAGCCAAAGCCTTTCATTTGGGGAGGGGTGCCTGTGTGGGGTGTGGTAAGGCGGGGTGGGGAGGGTAGCCCTGTTTTAGGCAAAAGTAACAAGGGTCCTCTCTGCCCCATGGGGGTGGGCCCTGTTGCCATGGACACCGACAAGTCCACTGACAGGAACATGTAGAGCAGGGTTAAAAGTGGGAGGGGAAAGGAAGGAGGCCCACGAGTGTGACTGGGGTTGGCTCGTCATGTGATGGCCAGGAGGAGCCGGACTCTTTATTTACTTTCAAAATGGACCAACGCTCTACACGTTAGCTGCCTCCCTAAGACCTATGGGCCCATATGGCAGCGAAGTGGGAGCATGGACACTCAATTATGCAGCCATTGAAGACAAGACTTCTAAAGTAAAGGAAGCTTGCAGAGCACCTGTGTTTTCTTAATTTCTTAATGATGCAGCCATTAAAGCAATCAAGGTGGGACACTAGGTCTGTGCTTGGTGCCCGTTCACAGCAAGCTACTGTTGCAGAATCCGATTTAGGGTGGGTCTAATGGCAACCAATATCCCATGAAGACAAAAAATAAAATACATTTCGCAAACATCTGCGAAATTTTGTCTTGATCCAACTGAAAGAGCGATGTGCTTTTATCTCCCGCTTTAAGAGCTACTGCCAACAAAAGGCATAAAACAAGGTCACTAATAGATCTGGCAGCCAAAAGCCTAAATTGTTTTTTTTTTTCCTCCTGCATAGGTGGGCCCCATAGCGACCCTGTAACCCAGACGTTTTCTACAAGGCAAAGCAGCCATTCTACAAACACCCTGACAAGATTAGACACATAAAATACACAATTTAAATATAAAAATGCTAAATTACCAAAAATGTACAGAAAAAAAAAAAGTTTACTACACAGAAACACCCTTAAAAAAATGATAGCCCTTTTATCGCTCTTTTGCAACACACGGCCCCCCCTCCTTTAGCCATACCATTTTTTCCCTCCACTGTGAGCATGACACATGAACAAGTGATGTTTGCTTTTCTATCACACGAAGGAACAACAGAGTTTTCTGAAAAAGGCCGTCAGTTTAAACTACCAAGTTTATTTTAGCCATACAGCTCAATTACAACAGAAGGAATTGGCTCAAAAATGCAGTTTTGGACATTGTAAAGTAAATCCTCCACAAAACATTGAATTCTTTGTTCCATTCCAACACTTTAAGAACTGGAGGAGTGGGTATCATTTTAAAGTACAACAACAAAAAATGACATTTCCTTCAGATGAAGGTTTAAAAAAAATTTTTTTTCTTTAAAATAAACTTTTAAATAGCCTGAATGCTGGTTTTAAATCCAGATATTTTCCCAAATTAGGCAAAAACATTCTAACAGCAAATTTCACACACAGATTTTTTTCCTATTTATTTACTTTTCATCCGAGGCAAAAGCATGCTCATCAGCGTGTCACTAAACACCAACCTATCTTTCTGAACCCCACAGATGTAGCAACACCACCTTGATCTGTGGTGTGGCACCTCCTCTTCCTGAGGAGTTCAAAGGTTAAGGCATGATGATTGGCCAAGCCTCCAAGCTGAAGTGTGCAGGCTGGAATGCAAAGAGGGGGGCCCCCATGGCACAAGTGTGTGCATGTGTGTGTAGCTTCTACTGAGCACTGTTCCCACCGAAGACAAGCAAAATCCTATATGGTGTATCGACAGACGGTTTTAACCCTCCTTCCTCCACACAGAAAGTAGACTTTAGTGCAGCCAGTCGGCACCACATTGCAAACTAAAAGACGGCAAGTCAGATTTAGCATCAAAATCCTAATCAATCCACCCTTTTTCTGACAGCAGGCCAAAAAAAAAAAAAAAAAAAAAAATGCAAGTTACCAAATAAACATAAATATACATTTAAAGCTCAGAAATTTAGCTTTTTTGTGTTAAACATGCACATAAGCTGCAGAACTAACAAGGAGTAGCAGCCAATGCTCTTTACAGTCAAATGTCCACATCGGATCCTATAGTATGCTTTTTTTAGCACAACACACACACTCAACTAAGGTTATTTAAAATTTTCTGTGCTTTATTTTCATGTTTTTAATATCAAAGCAAAATGTTACTCACATAAAATAAAACAGGCAAAGAAACTGAAGCTTTGATTTGAATCAGTTTTTCACTCGCCAGCTAAAGCCATGTGGTAGCTAGCTTAAACATTACTCAGGAGCTAAGCTAGGCTGGGGTTGGTTGCCTCAGAAGTATGCAAGAATTAAAAAAAATGCATGCCATACATAGAAGGATCCAAGTTGTTTAATAAGCTATAATATATGGCAAACAGCTGTTACATTTTAATTTGGCTCCTAATGCATAGGATTATTAAAAAGATTTTTTTTTTAATGTGACTCATTTTTTTATGTATTTTAAGTACAAAAAGTGTAAGCAATTAAGAACTTGTAAAACATGTTGCTACCTTTATTTGGAAGTCTCTTTCTACCCCCCCACCCTGCAAACCTTAGGCGAGTGTAAAATTGATGGGAAATTTGTTCAAACTGAAAACATCTTTAATATATGCATTAGTAAACATTTAAATTTAATAAAGGAGGGTTATTTAATAATATAACGTAAAGATATGCCTGTTTACATAAAAAAATAGATAAAATACCATCTTCTTAAACCAACACCTTATTATAATGAGCTTTTTGGTCACACAATAAATATAGCCTCATGCAAACGAATGCATTTACTTTTAAATTCAAACTGATTCAATTTCTAAATATATAATTAGGTTAAACTGGATAAAATTGGGTTAAAATATCACGTCACCAGTTAAAAAGGGAGCACACCCTTTAAAAGAGAAGAAAATGTAATTTTATCCCAAAAAATAAAAACACGCAACCGCCAAGCGTGGAAAATAGGTCTTTTTCACGACCTGAGAGGCAAAACTCGTGTTTTTTTAGGAGACTCTTATGCAAAAAAAGAAGCACAATGTGCTGAGGAAGGGCGGAAGCGTGGGGCAGGCAGGCAAAAATGACGGGCTGGACGGCTCCACAAGGGCCCGTCCGCCTCAAATTCAGCCTGCTTCTACCCTCAGAGCACATTTCGAGGGTTAACCAGCTCCTCTGAGCTTTCAACGGACACATTACGCACAGTATGCGTTGTTTAAGAAAACAAATATGGTGGAAGTGCTAAATGAATCCAAATTCAGGGCGAGTTTAAGGGCTGTGCGCAAACATAGCGAAAGAATGGAGAACATTACACAACCAAACACTTCTTTCATTTAATCCCAGGAAATTAAGAGCAAAAAAAAAAAAAAAAATTAAAAAACACCTATAAAATAATCGTATTAAAAACTCTCAAAAGCTTTCAATACATAATTAAATAAAAATTAAAAATCCTGCATCATTGAAAAAAAAATGGCTGCTTTTATGTGCAGAAAGTTAGTCTTTCTCCTTAGACTACTTAACAAAACCTGACCTACCTTTGACGTTTAGGGACAGAGTGCTCCACTTCCAGAACTTGCCCATGAAGTTCAACTTTACCTAAAGACATAAAAGTAAAATATAAATGGCCACTTTATTTACAAACGCCACATGATCCCCATTCAACTTAGACCTCAAATTAAAAAAGGAGATAGTTTTTTTTTCCCCATCTTCTACTCCTTTTCTTTCACACAGTACTTAAACATTGTGTTAAATATTTTACTATAAAATTAAAGCAGTAGTAGAGGGAATACTATGTGATAATTTTAAATGAATGTTAACTATGACGCGAGGGAAATGTACAAAAAAAAAACTGTGGCTCAGTAAGTTGCATGGCCTACATTTGCGCTAACAATTAAACCACCTGGTGTGTCAGCATGCATGGGCGATGTAGCTTCACACTTAGGCCTACACTTAGAAAATCTGACAAATAAAGGTAGTTTAACTTTAAACTGAACGTTAGATAGGGAAACAAGAGAAAAAAAGCGTAAAACAGGCTGATTTCCACGTTCAGTCCACGGCGTCCACAGCCTCGCTGGCTGTGAGCGGCGTTAAGCCTGGATTTCCTCCTGATTTTGTTTACTCTAACATTTTATCAATGGAAATAACAGAGATTTCACTCAAGCATGTGGGGGTTGAAGTCATTTATCTGAACCCAGAGAGTCAAAAGGCCATGCAAAGGTTGTGTGTATATGCAAGTGTGTATATATACCGTGTGTGTGTGTGAGAAAGAAACAATTGGATACACCCCCACCCTCCAGGACTATACATGAGTTTCTTACAGCCATCTCTTAAAATATGCACACATGTATCGAGCCAGTTTTTTATATATTTTTATTTTATTTTAAATATAGAGAGAAAAAAATAAAACTCACCTGAAAGAACATCGATAGCTCTCATAGCCGCTTTCTCGTCCGGGCAATCCACAAACGCATAGCCAGTTTTGACAAGAAATGAGCCACTGTGCGGAATCTTCCACTGCTTGAAGATACTTTCCAAGTCCTCCTCGCTCGCCTCTGCGCTCACGTTGCCGATGTAAAGCTTATTCATGTTCCACGCCGAAACGGGACAATCTTTACGCAGGAGAAGAGAAGAGACAGTTGTTCGCTCTCTCTCGCGGATGTGCGCTCGAATAGGCTTGTTTTGCTTTCTGTTTTTTTTTTTTTATTCCCTAGCCCTTTTACTACTACTACACGGAGCGGCTGTGGCGTGCTTCCCGGTCGGTTTCGAGCCACAGATAGATTTAAACTGGCAACCCCCCCTCCTCTCCACAGTGCGTTTTGCGCTCCCTCGCCCCCCTCTGTCACTGTCGCGCAATATATAAACGCTCAATTATTAATCTCTCTTTCCAAAACGATGGCGGTGAGGAAAAAAAAAAAAAAAAGGAGGAGGAGAAACTACTTTTGTGTCTTCCTCCAAAAAAAAAACCCTTTTGGCAAAGATAGAGAGAATGTAACACACAGTAAGGCTGGCTGGCGCCCGCCTCTGAGTCTACAGCCTAGAATAAGAAGACAGGGCAGGAGGAGTTGAAAAAAAAAGATCCTCTGCTATTCCGGCTTTTTTTTTTTTTTTTTTTTTTCTGAATGAGCCACGTGTTCAAACTACAAATCAGCCCACACGTGAGGAATCCCAATTGCTCAATTAAGTGTTTTTTGGGGGGGGTTGCACGGGTATCTGGGGTGGAGACGGCAGCGAATTGGGAGTGAAGAGGAAAGAAGGAGGGAAGAGTGGATTGGTGTTGGAAGAGAGAGAGGGAGATAGAAAAAAAAGCATTTAGAATTATGTGCGTAAAGGTTTTCCGTGTCTTTACTAGAAGCACATTCGTGGTGTCTTTCTCTGCAAAGCCTTGCTCCTTTGGTCGGTTGGAACAAACCCACGCCCTTAGCCAGGAGACGCTGACATTGCGGGTGGCTTGTGCGCATAAGTGCGCTCAAGTGATGTCACAGTTGAAAGAGCATTGTAAAAGGGTTTGGGGTCAATATGTGATTTTTTTTTTTTTTTTTTTTACACTATATGTTATTCAGCTTTGCATCTGCAATAGTTGATTTTAGGGATCTTGCCTGCATGGGAGGACCCTTGGTCCTTATGCAATGCGAGAATGACACGTCTACTACTACCCACATGGCGGCATCCATCTTCTCCAGGCTAGCGTGGAGTCATGCACTCTTTGATCCACAACTCAAAGTCCAGCAGCAGGCCCCATTTACTCGTGATCACAGAAACGTATGCATTGAGCGGGGGTCTTTGTAATTTGTTCAAATTGCAAAGGATGTTTGGTGTAAGCGCCATGACGTGTGGAGAGAGGACACATGATAAATCCAATCTGCCTGGATTTAAAATCACTGAATGAAAGGAGTGGTCTCCACTTTACTGTTCCCCTGGCGCCCCCTCTAAGGCATATACAGTCACGTGTTGAATATAGCCCATAACATATATGGTTTTACTGAAACAGCAGTCTTTAGTTGCAAATGTTTGGGTTAGATAATAACAATGCATGTTACCAGGAAGCTTCCATACGGAGGGCCAGGGGTCAAAATAGTGTGAAAGCAGATCTTTACAAGCTTTTCAACACAAAGGGTCATGCCTCTTATCAATGAATGCTCTCTGATCTTTTTGGGTGAGAGGATTAAAACCTGAAAACATTGTATATTAAGGCCGGATGTAGATTAATCCCTGAATTGAGTCCCATCCATTAAAAGCTGTAAATTATTATTTTTATTTTTTTTCATCTGATTGTTGTTTTTCATTTTTCTGTAAATAGTAATATTGTATGATTTAGTTCTTTGGGGGTCATTCAGCAAATAAGGGTTAATAAGATGGAAATTATATGAAAACACATGAATATAGCACAAGTGAAATAAGTACAGTAATATAAAATGCAGTGAGGTATAAAGCTCCATTGTATTTAGATCCTCTCCCTTTCATCCGCAGGACAGTGATCCCTGTCATTTTGCAACCACACTAAATGCTACAGTCATAATTCTAAGATTTTTGCTTCTCTTAAAACAAATCTGATCAGTTAGAAATATACAGTTCCTTATAAACATCAAAAACTAACATAACTCCTTCTCAAACATAAAATAACAGCAGAGGAATCCATGACTTCATTGTGCTTAATGATGCTAATTGTCATTCACATGAATTAAAAACTTTAAATTTAGGAGTTGTCTTAACACATTTTTTATTATTATATTTGTGCTCACATTATATGTGGCTGTTTTGGTTTGCATTTATCTTGGTTTCGAGGGTGACTCTTAACACCCATCTGAGGACAACAGATGAAAAATACCCCCTAATTTACTTCCTGTACATAAATAAAACGATTTACAAACATAAATTCTTATTTTTGGTAAGATTATAAATATAAAACCATTAGGTTAACAACATGATGCATTTGCGTATTTAACCTGAATTAGAAACGTTCCTGACTAAATGGAATAATATAAACATTACATTATCACCTAAAGTAGGCACAAGAACCTCAGATTGATACACAAATAAGAAATATGTATGGTGAGTTTTTGAAAAGTAGCAATGAAGGATAAAAAGTAGGTGGAAGGGGTGTGTGTGGGGGGGGGGGGGATTTGATAGTGCATACAAACAATTCTTATCAAATCCAGACATTGATCAAAGTAAGAAATTAATAGAATCAATCAACCTGCAATCAATTGAATCAACATTACAACTTTAACAAAGTTTAAAGCCTAGTTAGTTGTGCTGCACATACATTCTTTTCTAAATCCCTCCCCTCCCTATCCCTTCCTTTATCTCTCCATCCATTATATCCAGTTGATATGCAGGGTTAAGGTGAGCAAAACATTTATGGTAGAAAAGATACATTGTTTATTTGGCAATTTAATCAAATGATTCAATTAAGAACATGAAAGCATAGAAACTCTCCAAAATTGATCATATATATGTAAGCATTAAGTTCCATAAATTATGTATAGTTGGGGCAGTAAGTTCCACTCAGACTTTCAGATCCCCTTACTAGCCTTTTCAGAGCTTGAATATCAGGTCTTTGGACTCTCAAATACTCCATCCATCAGAATAATGCAAATTAGTTAGGATACTTATACCAAAGTTGAAGTACATCAGTGGTCGCCCATGATAAGTGCTGTTTGAATAGTACTGGCACTAAGAAAGGAGGTAGGAAGAGGATGCATGATGTTTCCTATAAACAGTTTGTTTAGCATAGGGACCTTCCGGTGTTGCTCTCCACTGCCTAGGAACCAATGGATGCCCAGAATCTTTTGCTTGATAGGACGTATAAGCACAGCCCACCTCAAAGAGTTGAACAAAATCACATCATATCCTCATATGAACTGTGTATGATACATGAAAATTTACAAGCCTACAGATCTGATTGGGTTTATAATGGTGAGCGTTAGCTGTTTGCAACATTCATGTGACTTTTGTTTCTTTTCTGGAAGGCTGTAGTCTTAATTTGATTAGGATCATCCATGCTTGTTTCCACTACTACTTCCACTACTTAATGACATCTGTAAGACTAAAGGCTGTGCGGATTCAGCACAGGAGTACGGAGTTTGTTACTGTTAATACAGTGGAAGGTGGAGAAGGGGAGCTAGCATCAGGAGCTACAGATGGTGATCCACTGTTGCTGTACTATAAACCTGATGTTCTCAAATTGTGGACCAAGAACCAGTCATAGTATCCAAAAGAAATTCTTGCATAAGGTAGACCAGAATGAAATGATTGTGGTTTAGAGCAGGCAAAAGGATGATTTGTTCTCTACTCAAGTACAGATACTTGTGTTAAAAAATACTCTGGTAAAAGTGGAAGTACTGATTAAACTTCTTTACTCAAGTAGAAGTAACAAAGTACAGGCTTGTAAATTTACTTAAAGTATAACAGTAAAAGTAGAAACCACATTTTAAATGGATGTCTGCCAATAGGACTAGATCTCCGTTGTGTTCATTTTCAATCATGTCGTCGTCCATACTACTATGCTAACGCCACCGTCACCAAGCTGCAATGATTTGCCGCGAATGAATACCGCAGAATCTGTCGATTCATCTTGTAGTGGTGCGTCAAATGCAATGTAGATTCCCATCCAATTAGATTGAATTTGGTATTGATGACGTGAAAAATAATAACGGTAACTCCACTGAAATGATTCAAAACTAAAGTAACGAGACAATTTTTTTTAAATGTAAGGAGTAGAAAGTACAGATATTTGTGTAAAAATGTAAGTAGTAGAAGTAAAAAGTTGCCAAAAAAATAAGTAGTAAAGTAAAGTAAAAATATCAGAAAAATCTACTTGAGTACAGTAACGAAGTATTTGTATTTCGTTACTTCCCATATCTGGTTGTTAACTACTATTACTTACTACTAACTACTACTTAGTTAACTACTATTGGCAATACCATTGAATAATATATATATTTTTTTCTCTGTATGTTATAAATCATAATGAGTGTTCACTACAAAGGTGTGGGAAATATTCAAACAAATAAGAATTGTAACAATTAACTTTTTTCTAGCGCCCGTTGTGAAATTTAATTATCAATGCAGCCATATTGGATGTTGAGGTCAACATTTTTTAATAATCATCGACTTTTCAAACCAAAGTTATAAAGTAAGGCAAGAAGTTTTGATAAATTTCCACTTTCAGCATCCTTAAACCACAATCTGAGATAGAGAAATATACAAATGTCTCCTTTTTTTTGGCTCCATGTTAACTAAAAAAAAAAAAAAAAAAAAATACTAAAAAGGATCTTGTGTTATGGTTTACAGTTCCTCCATATAGTACCTTATGCTTATAGGAGGTAATGTCATGATCTTAGTGCTGATGACTGTCTTGATTGTTCATTCCATTCACCTGCCTAACTCGGCCCAGTTTCTCATTACCGCTCCTCTGTTTCACCTGCTCCTGTCTCTATTTAACATGCCTTCTTCCAGTCATTAGTGCTTATTATTCAAGCCCTTGGTGAGAGGTCTCTAGCGTACCTGGGTGCTCTGATTGCCTCATCCAGTCCTATTCTGCCTTGGGACATCTGAGCCTGCTTGTTCCCATTATTCTGTTTGCTTGGCCTGTCTTGAGATTCCTGCTGGATTCTGCCTTTTCTGAACCTGGAACTGCTTCCTGGCACCAACCTGGATTTCCCTTTGATACCTCTTCGGATCACTGATCTTCAGGCTTGGACTCCTGTGAACCTCCTTGAAACCTTTGCGCTCTGGATTGTCCTGCCTTCCTCCGTATGCTTGAATCTGATCTCCTGCAACTTCTGCAGTCTTCAAGGCTTCAGCATCTGGGACTTTCTTGGCAGCGTTCATCACATCTTGTCAGTGGCTGTCTGGCTGGTATCCACCTCTTCCTCTGGGATTGGACTGAACCTTAAGACCAA